GGCTTTCAGAACCATATTCACTATAACACTCTACAATGTGACTGTCTCTGCTTCTCATCTCTGCAAGCCCACGACACCCTCCCAGGTGACCCTCTGCCACGGCCCCACACCCCACTGAGCCTCTGTGCACGGCCCACACCCCACGTGAGCTCTGCACACGGCATCACACCCGCACGTGAGCCTCTGCCACGCCTCACCCAGGTTAGCCTTCTGCACACGGCCACACCACGTGAGCCTCTGCACACGGCCCACACCCTCACCTGAGCCCTCTGCCCACGCCACCCCCCCACGTGAGCCTCTGCCACCGGCCCACGACCACCATGAGCCCTCTGCGCAGCCCCACACCCCCGACGTGACCTCTGCGCATGGCCCCACACCCCACGTGAGCCTCTGCGCACGCCACACCACGTGATCCTCCGCACGGCCCACCCTACGAGCCTCCTGCGCACAGCCCACACACCCACGTGAACCTCTGTGCACGGCCACACCGCCACGTGAGCCCTTGCGCACAGCCCCTACACGCACGGCCCCACACCTGTCACGTGAGCCCTCTGCGCACGGCCCCACACCCCCACGTGAGCCCTCTGCCCATGGCCCCACACCTGTCACATGAGCCCTCTGCACACGGCCCCACACCCCCACGTGAGCCCTCTGCCCACGGCCCCACACCCCCACGTGAGCCCTCTGCGCACGGCCCCACGCCCCCCACGTGAGCCCTCTGCGCACGGCCCCACAGCCCCCACGTGAGCCCTCTGCGCACGGCCCCACGCCCCTCACGTGAGCCCTCTGCACACGGCCCCACAGGCCCCACGTGAGCCCTCTGCGCACGGCCCCACGCCCCCCACGTGAGCCCTCTGCGCACGGCCCCACGCCCCTCACCTGAGCCTTGGGCGCACTCAGGCTGACACACTCCCCGCGAGGCCTTTGTTTTATTTTGTTTAATAATACGCATGGCATTTTCCGCCTTTTTCTAACTTCCACAGTTACACATCTTTCTTGTTTTCTATTTCTAATGCAACTTTTCCTCTGATCCCGATCCTCAATTTTTTTACTCTTTTTCTTCCTCCAACAGAGAATAATATAAAAGAAAAAAGTTATTTAATTTTACACTTATTATTCACGACTACACATGCAATGGGTAAGATGAGTTCTCTATCATCTGTCAAAGGTACAATCAGATCGAGTTAGAATTTTAAGAGTTTACAGTGAATACAAAAGGACAGTTTGTGAACCGGGGAACTTAAACCGAAGAAATGGCATGAAATCTCAATTTTGCCGCAGTTCCAGCACAATTTATAGAGCATAAACGAAGAAGTATTTTGACCTTTTTTGTGATTGCCTGGCATGTTTGGTTTTAAGGCAAGAAAGCTGTGTACACTGATTTGTCTGTAGAAAACCAGAATGATTTAAATTTTAGTTACATGGCTTTGGGCAATTGGCCTTGGGGTATCTAAACCATGGCCTCCATTTTATTTATTTACTTATTTTTAACACAACTAAAAACCATATAACCACACACAGCATCTCACCCAAGTAAGAGGCTTTTGACCTGATCTCCAACCAGCCTATATTGTTTGTTTTTGTTATTTGTGGGCATTTTAGTAACTTTTGATTTGTTTAAAAACAAAAGTCTATATTGTTCCTTTTTTGCAAACATCATTTTACTATCCACGTATTCCATATTTTTAGCTAAAACTTAGCTATCATTTAAACAATGAAAGAAAACAAAGGAAGTTGTTGGCAGTGTTAGAGCTTGGAAAAATAAGAGCTTTGTACATTTTAAGGAAATTGTCTCCTTTATTATGCAAATAAATTTTATTTCCACATACTTGGAATAACCTAAGGTTTTTAAGGAATAGATTTGGTCAGAGAAATGGAAATAAAGGGTCGATATTTTTCATGTTCTTATTTCTGAGGAGGCTTAGTGTAATTTATTTTTTTTAAAAAAATGTTTAATTTCATACAAATTTACTTCTCCAATGGGGCAAACATTTTTTGGCTACACTGTTCTCTTCAGATAGCTTCATATTTCAAATATTCTGAAAGCAATAAAGGAAACTAAAAAGAATGTATTGACCCTATGACTGTGCCCTCTCGGAATTTGCCTGTGGTTCTGTGGTCTTGCGTTGAATGACAATTATAGTCTTTTCTTTATCCAGGGATGGGTACCTAATAATGTGAGGTGGGTTTTGTTAGGTTTGTTCCAGGTGGGAACCCAAGAATTATCCTAAAGCCTGTGAAACAAAAGCCGCAGGAGTCTGAAGAGTCCAAGGTTATAAATCTAACTTCAACCATAGACAGCTGCAGCCACGCTGGCATCCCTGTCCCCCCTGATAAGGATGAAGCTCCCCCTTCTCCTGTCTCTGCGGGTGTTACTCATTCCCCCTGAAAAACCCTCTATAAAACCCAAGGCTTTTCCCTTCCTCGGAGTGGATGCTTTTTTGTCTCCACCCGTCTGTACCCAGATGCTCAAAATAAACAGCACTTTGCGACACATGAGGCTTCGTGTCTCTCTCTCAGCTCTGGCTCTAACAAGTTTATTGCCCTGTTCCTTCCTAGGACTACAAAACCCTTCTCAAGTCCACAGAATTTGTTCTTGGTCACTGCTCTTGAATTTCTTCTACTTTGGAGGTATGGTTTATAATTGTGGAATTTTTTACGGTTAAAAGCACAGGAACTTTAGTACAATCTTGTACCCAGATGAGGAATGCCTTCCACAAAATCCCTGACAATTCAATAAGGCAATGAATTGTTCCATGAAGAAGTAGAGTTCCTATCATAGAAATGTGTATCGTGTGTTTGCTCGAAAATAAGACAGGGTCTTATATTCATTTTTTCTCAAGAAGACACCCTAGGGCTTATTTTCGGGGGATGTGTTTTTTTGAGTACGGTACAACAATCTATATTTATTCAAATATGGTCATCTTCTTCTGGAACATCATCATAACTCTCCAAACCCCAAATTCCATCCTGAATTTCTTGCGACTCTATTTCCTTTAGAACCATTAGCTGGGACCTGACAGGGGAAGCTGACTTTGTTGGTGGGGCTGCCCGCACATTTCTGGTCATCTCTGGGATAGTAGCTGTCATGATGGGGCAGATGAGAAGGGCTGCTCTCCTTCTTTATCGCTCTGTGATGAAATGCATGAGTTGTGCAGATACGCCGCATAGCCACTCGGTCTTATTTTCGGTGTAGGGCTTATATTGTGTTATATTCGAGATTCGCAGGGCCGCAGGACAGAGAGACAGAGTTACCGAGGCTGTAATTATCAAAGGAGTTCTATTGTCTAGCTCGAGCTAGGGTCCGAGCCCCCTGAGCCTGAGTGCCAGCGCAGTGGCCTCTTCTTCGGGCAGGGACCCTCCTTTGTGTGCTAGTCCCCTTTTATGACTCAGTTGTTTACACACTGGTCATGCATCCGCACCCACAGTGATTCTTACTTCATCCTGCCCCTGATAGGCTCTAACCTGTTCCGGGTCCTAGCTGAGAGACTCCGGTTTCCACGTTCTTTGTCTTTTTCCTCTGTTTTGTAAATTACCTCTTTTAAAACATAACCACCATCCATGACCACAGCAATGCACATGCTTTCTGATGGGTCAGAGAGGAAAGCAGAACTATCAAAGGCAGACAATCAGGGTTTATGTCTTGCCTCTGCTTATAATCGCCAAGCGTCTTCTTTCTAGACTTGTAGAATGGTCCAATTAGACATGACAATTTGCAGCATTCAATGACTTAAATTCCATTTACCATGGAAAGTTCCTTAATATGAGAGGTGCCCTTCAAGTGTCCTCTAGCATCAGACACAGGTGCTGGAAGCCATCTTGCATCCGTAACTCCTGTTAGCATGGTGTTTGCTGAGAGCTGTTCGGCTCCGGCTCAGCAGAGTCACTTGGCAGCCTACAGCATCCTCTAGTGGTCAGACCGAAACCTCAAGATATGTACATTTTGATTATCCCAAGAAATAGACCTAGAGTGTCAGGCAACTGTGTTTTTTTGCAAGTGTTGAATAGTCCTAATTGGTCATTTCAAGTTCAACGGGTGATCTATTCCCTGCTATAAATCAGAAAACCTGATGTTTCTCAGGCTCCGTTAGCCTAATACCTGCCTCTCCATTCTAAGTTAGTTCTTCATGAGCCCAGGAATTCAAGCTGCTTTTCCTTCTCTTTTTAAGTAGTTGTGAGCACTTTTTTTTATTTGGGGGCACTTCTTCATTTCTGTACCTGGATATAAACGCATAGGCCCTTTCAATAGGAGGATGTTCTCTTAAGTTCCTATAGAAGCAATAGGTGAAGAGTAATCTGTGTGAGGTGATTGTGGTTTATAGGAAGAAGCACTGGACTTGAGGTCCTGAATTAAAGTCCTGAGTTAAAAGCCTAACTCTACCACTTTGTTCGCTGGTGATATTAGTCAGGCGATCTCATTTTTGTAAATTTACTCACAGGACAGGCATTGTCTTTGAGAAGATCATGACTCACCTAAAGTCTACCTTCTGAAACATGTGGAGAATCACAAGATCTAAACTCTTTTCCACCAGACAGGCAGCTCTATGCCCATGTGCCTAGACCTGTGCCAAGCATAATAGATACTCAACTAAATCCCAAAGAAGCCTAATTTCTATCAGCTAAATGTGATGGGTGACATATTTCTGGGCTGAGAATTTTCTAATTATTCCTTAAAATGGTAGTCCAGTTCTCTTCACGATTACATGTGTTCATGATCAACTGGGTCCTGTCACTTAACTTCTGTAAGGCAGAGGCCTCAGAATGTGAGAAAGGGGGAAAGGAAAAAGTATTGTGAGGGAAACTGTCTGAAATGACAGGATTTTTATATTTTGTAAAATTTGGTCCAGTCTGAGTCTTGCCCAGGTCCCCTGTGCCTGATCTAATCAAACATTACCTTTGAAGAAAAGCATATAAGAACAAGAAGTATTCAGATGCATTTATTCAACAATTAGGCCAGCCAGGCATCGTGGTGACCTTATGGGATTTCAGAACCTTGGTTCTTAGCAAGTCCCCTTTTTCCGAATGAGGACAGGAAACTGGCGGTTCCTGTGGAAGAGATGGGAAAAAAAGTCGACTTAAACTTTACTGACAAAAAAGTGACTATAGGAGAAAAACAGCTTCATTTAAAATAGAAAGGTTTGAGATTTATTTCCATTTCTCTTTCTTTCTTTCATTGATTTACTTATTCATTAATTCACCATACGTTTATTGATTACTGTCACATCATTAAAAATACAACAGAAAGGAAAGATGTCTATCCTTACAGAATTTACAGATCTAGTCAGGTGTTACAGTGAATCTCTGAAATTAATTTTTAATCCATTATTGCTTCTTTTGTTTCTGATACCACTGCCCTTGCCACCAGGTTTCCAGCTGGTGCCTGGGCTATTGCAGGACCTTCTGATTGATTGAACTTTGTTCTTAGAACTTTGAGGATTCATACCTGTGAGGTCTTGTAAAAGTAAATCATATCTTTACCCCATATGGCACCTGCCAGTTCTAAGCATCCTTCCCTCCAGATTAAAACCTTTCTACTTGCCCCCACATCACCTTTACCAAACAGAACAGTTTGCTCTTCTCTAAGCTAAATAGCTCCGAATCCTATAATTATTCCTTAGAAGGTTGTTTCCAGATCTCTCGTTTTTCTAGCCATCCTTTCCTTGAATATATTGGCTTACAAAAATTCTGTTTCTCTATCACAGATAGATGTCTGACGTTCATATATTTTATGCATGCATTTATCTGGATTTTGTTGATGTTTCATTTTAAGAGTTTTTGATGCTTTCTTGTCCCATAGTCATTAATTATGCTCATAATACTGATTTCCAAATCAGTTAACATATATAAGCCAGACATCTCAACAGAGCAAACAATAGTTGATTTTCTATAGCTGTGCTATTCACTATGGATTAATATGTTCACTATCCACATATAGCTACTTATATTTAAATTAGCTAAAGTTAAGGAATACTAAATATTCAATTTCTTAATTGTACTAGCCACAATTAAGTGCTAGTGGCTAATGGTTTTGCATTGGGCAGCATAGACATAGAACACTGCTGTCACTACAGAGAGTTCTATTGGACAGTGCTGGTCTATAGACAAAAATTCTCCAGTATAGATTCCCTAAGAAGTAATAGAAGAAATAGAAAAAGTCTTCATTGAATATATCTTCCAAGCACCTAATGACCAAAGAGACTACCATATGCAAGCCCTTGCTTAGTGTTATCTACTTGTCTCAAAACCCAACATCCAGAGTCCAGGCCTGGCTCTTGTTACTATGTGGTGGATCTGTTTGGGACCTTCAGCGGGCAATAGAAAGGCAATATAGTACATTAAGAGATATGTTATAATCGAGAAAGCCACATTTTGTCTCTAGACCTACGTTTTCTTATCTGAGATAGAAAAAAAGAGAGGTTATGTTTTCTGGCATGCAACTGTTCCTCTCAGACCCACACAGTTTTGACAGACTATTAATAGAAAGAACAAGCAGGGACTGGTAGATTTTAAAGGCTAAGGGAATAGGGTGTCCCAGATTTCTGCTCATATTTCCCTAATATTTCACTATAAATTATATATTGGGCCTTTTGGTCTTGGCACTGGGAAATTTCTCAAGTTTCAAGGCTATTCTCTTGCTTTCTCCTTCCCTGGGGTAGAAATATGATGTTTGATCTTAATGTCAACAACATAGTTCATGAGAAAATGAACAAGTGTAACAATCGGTTACAAATTTCTTTGCAAGTCTCAGTCGTGGAAACAGATTCACCACAAAGCAGGACACCAAATATTTCACATATAAAACTTTAGGATATTAGAGCTCTTGCCCTGGAGCCCTATTTCCACAATACTTGCTAAATGCTGAGAATTTTCTGAAATTGTTTAAAACAGCCAAAAAAAAAAAAAAAAAAAAGGGTTTGTGTTATAGGTAAGGGAATTTATTCAGTGGAATAATGGAATGCATGCCTGAGTCAAAGTCTTTAATATCAAGTCAACCACAGAAGAACCGAGGTCAATTTTGATTCGTTTTCCTCATTCCACACCTTCATTAACCTCAACGCCCCTTCAACGCTGTCAGCATTCAGAGCCAAATTGTCACGGCATTCTTTTCATGAATCCTTTCTTGACCCTTTTTTTGAGACAGAGTCTCGCTTTGTTGCCCAGGCTAGAGTGAGTATCATGGCATCAGCCGAGCTCACACCAACCTCAAACTCCTGGGCTCAAGCAATCCTCCTGCCTCAGCCTCCCGAGTAGCTGGGACTACAGGCATACGCCACCATACCCGGCTAATTTTTTTCTATATATATTAGTTGGCCAATTAATTTCTTTGTATTTATAGTAGAGACGGGGTCTCGCTCTTGCTCAGGCTGGTTTCGAACTCCTGACCTGGAGCAATCCGCCCGCCTCGGCCTCCCAGAGTGCTAGGATTACAGGCGTGAGCCACCGCGCCCGGCCTCTAGACCCTTTTTCGATGAGAAGAAATCTGTATTTCTGCTTTGCTCTGTGGCACTTTACACCTCATTTTCTGGCATTTGCCCTAAGTTATGTGAAGCCATCATGTATGGGCTCAAGACCTATTTTCTCTTAGTCATAAGCACAGTGAAAGCAGCGGAGACGACCGTAATGCTTGGCGTATTGTTCAGTTGCTGAGCGTGATGGAAAATGTGTGGCAAATCTATTTCTCTGTAGGACCTAAACCTGCTTATGGACACCTACTTATGGACACTTCAGAAAATGAAGCTTTACTGAGCCTGGCTCTTATATCCACAAATAAAAACGTTACAAAAATATATTTCTGCTCACCTAGGCTATACAGTTTATATTTGTATATTTGAAGGCTTTAGAAAACAAAATTATGGCTATCACCGAGATTTATTTTTTTAAAGTTAAAGGTGTTCTGTGTGTATGAGCTTTTTAAAAAATCCAGACTATCTAGGGTTTTGCTATAAGAAATGTGGTGTTTTATCATACGGGTGATTTCTAAACATCAGTAAAAAGGATGAAAAAAGAGAACTATTTTCAGGAAAAGTAGATATTTTGTTTTTCTTGTGGTAAGATTCATGTTATCAGTATATTGATTGGGGCCCTAGAGGGATAGATATGTATAGGTTTAAAGACAACTAACTTAAAATATATTTTAAAAATTCAAGTTTGTACTCACTTATTTTCTTGACACAGAGTGCATTCATTGGGATAAGTACGTCCATCAGTACCACAGACAGGGTCATAGATCTTGATGCATCCCCCAATGTCTTCACAAACAGGCTAAAAATGGAATGAAACAATAATTTCCCATCATTCCCCATTCTTTCAGTTTATAACAAAATCTCCCAAATAGTTTTAATTTCTCTGGGGCGTGACTGTGATTGGGAGAATGATATTGCATGTTCCAAGAGAAAGAATCCACGATCTGGGGTCAGAAAACCTGGTTTTAAATAATGCCTCTGCTATTTCCAAGCCATACGATATCGGCAAGCCCTCTGGCCTCCCTGAAACTCAGTCACTTCATCTGCAAAATGGGAGTAATATTATTTTCCCACCAATCTCATAGTGCCGTTATGAGGTTTTCCTAAGATGAGTGGGATAGTGTTCAAGTTTACAATTACTGCAGGTGCTGGCTCCTCTCAGGTTGGCCACACCTTGGGACATGTTTCCTCCTTGCCCACTGTAAGGCACACACACTGGTCTTCTCTTAGGCATTTGAAGGTACTGGGTGTCTTCCATTCCTGGATCCTTCACACTCTATTCTAGTAAGAGTTAATAATAATCAAATACTGTTCTAGGCCAGGCACTGTCCTAAGTGCTCGTTATATATTATTCTATTTAAACCTCACAACTATGCTGTGAACTTATTATTATACTCTTCTTCAGGTGAAGATAATAAGGCCCCAAGTGATGAAGTTACCCAAGGCCACACGGCTAAATAATTCCTGGATCCAAAATTCAAATTCAGTCATTCCTGTTCCTGAGCTTTTGCTCTTAACTCCTTCATTCTATATGTCCCACCACCAGTTATGTTTTGCTAACACATTTATCCTTTATGGCTCAAAATAACTCTCCCTTACTTAGGGGTACCCTCCCTGATCTGTAGCATAAGTTTCTAAGGGCACCAGAACAACTTGTTAGTTGTTCTTCTTCTTCCTCCTCCTCCTCTTCTTCCTCCTCCTCTTCCTCTTCCTTCTTCTCACAAGGTCTCACTCTTGCCCAGGCTGGAGTTCAGTGGCCTCATCATAGCTCACTGCAAACTCAAAGTCCTGGGCTCGAGTGATCCTCTCTCCTTGGCTTCCCCAAGGGCTAGGATTATAGGTGTGAGCCACTGTGCCTGGCCTCTAGAATTTCTTCATAACACTTATCACAAATGTAATAATTTATTCACTCATGAACTTTGGCTTTATCAGCTGCCTCCCACTAGATATAAATGTGATGAGAAAAGGAACACTTCTTTCTTTGGTCTCCAAATTTACTGAAATTACCTTTTAAGCAAAGGAAAACATGAAAAAGTTAGATTTAGAATGTTTTTCTAGAGGGAGAAACTAACTTATTATCTTCTGCTGTTCATTAAAAATTAGAGCGGTACCTTGGTGACTGGGAGAACTGCGGGCCAACAGGATCAAATTGGCTCTAAGGAGGAAGGGCTACTTGGAGTGGACTTGAGAAGGCTTCCACCTAAAATACTTGTCCTCTAGCTAGTACTAGTATATTTGAAAAAAACCTCTCACAGCAAGCATTATACAACTGCATAGAACTTGCCTATGCATCAGTGAATGTATCCTTTAGTATAAGCCCATGGGGGAAAACTGCTATTACTATTTGTATTCCATAGGCTTAGCCTCTCCAGCATTCACACTCCTCATCTTGACTTCAGGCTCAGCTGAAAGGTGACAGATAGAATGTACTTTAGTTGGATCCAACAGTTCCAGCCTGAGAAATAAGAAATTACAAAATTTTCTTTACCTGTCTTCCTTGTTTGTTGATTCTACAGTCGCCTAGAAGACATAAATCGGACATGTTAAGTGAGTCCTAAATAAGAGAAGCCAGATCTATTCTGATTCAGAATTCTCTGCTTTTATTGAAGACTGTGACTTCTCTGCTGGCCTCTTCCACTCCCCACCCCTTCTGATATCTATCCTCTTTCAAGGATGTAGTAGGTCTGGATTCCATCTCCTCCTTGCCTGCTGAAACCTTGAAAAAAATTAAGTAAAAATTTGATTATGACAAAAGTATCTCAGTTTTGTATTTCAGAAAAGTTGATCCATTTCCTTGAAAATAGAAATTATGTTCTTACTGCTTGAAATGTATCAGGCACTGAGCAAGTATCTTTTAAATGTTCACTTACATTCTCACGACAATTAGTCATTCACCTCTGATTTCACAATTAGTGAGGTGTAAGTATCTTTCTATCCGTTTACAGATGAAGGTATGGAGAATTGATATAACTAGCTATGAAACAGTTATTGTTTCACTAGCAGTAACCAGGTCTTCTGATGTAAAATTAACTTTCGCAATTACATTTAAGCCCCCTTTTGTAAGTAATGTTAAGAAATCGAGCTCTTTTTGCCAACTCACCATCAGCTCCCAAGGATCTGGTTCCCACAGTTGCATTATGCTGACTGTAGGTCCAACTTATATTTTATGAATTTACAGATAGTCAAAATAGCCATTCTGCATCCTCCAGAGAATAGCAGGTCTTGCTGACATCATGTAGGGGATGGTAACTGTGAACGAGTTCACTGAACGGAAAGGGAACTAATCTGATAGTTGGTGAGATTTAATTTTAATATCAACAGTCACTGAGGTGATCTAACTAGGGAGGTAGTTCTTAGCTCAGTATGTAGTGAAAAGAGACCACTGTTTGCATCAATATTTAGTAAGTACAACCAACAATATTCTTCCTCTTCTTAACAAAGTGCTGATTCAGCTCCCAGGAGGATTCTTTGCCAGATCAGAGATGAAGATGAAAGTGTTAATCATTTCAATGATAGAAAGGAAACTGATCTTAATTCTGTGGGGTCAGAATTGTCTTGTCAACATTGTCAAGATGTAGTTTGGGGATATATGTACACCATCTATTCAAGCAAAATGTTTCCCTTCAAAGCATTCTGCAGGTCAAAAATAAATTTTTTAAACAGTCAAACTATGCCTTTCATACTGAGTAACCAGGAGCAATTGTTATCTATTTTATTCAATTCCATGAGAATCTAAAATTTGTAAATTGGCCTTAGACATTTACAGAATGAGAAGGGTATTTAAGGTTGAAGTATTTCCACCATTTTTTTTCTCTACTATCTCCCTGATAAAGGTTTCCTATCACTAGAGGAAAACCATTTTTTTTTTTTTATCTCTGAACAGTTATCACTAGTAGAGTTGCTTTTCTTATTTTACGTTAAAAGCTCCTCTTTCTATAGTTCTCATCCATTGATTTTATTTCATCTCATGGGACCAAAAGATCTGTCTGTGACTAGACTGCGCCCAAAGTTCGGAAGGTAATGTGCTAGCAAAGCAACAGGTTGAAAAGGTTTTTACTTAACATCTGAAAAATATATTCAAAGTTACCTACCGGAATAGCTCATCAGGGCCAAGATAGTGAGAAGAAAGATGCTTGTTATCTTCATGGCTGAAGTTCTGTGTCCAGAGGTCAGCTGAAAACTGCACTGAACTTACCACCTCTCTTCAGAACCCTGGGGCTAGAAGGGCTATATAAACAGATGGCCACAAGGTCCCACCTACTGCTCTCCGTCACAGGTCTCCTTGGTTATTGATTAACTGTGTCATAGCTTGGCCTCCAGGTTAGGGGACGTGGTATGAGAAAGGTGAGTTGAGCCAGGTAGGTCTGAAATAGGCAAGGCCAAGATTCTGTCCGAAAAATAGTTCTCTGGTGTTTGGTTAGTTTGACCCCTAACTCCCTCGGTGGTTATAGGAAGGCCCTTCCCTCCTTGAGTCCCAGTTCTCTTATCTGCAAGGTCAACTCAAAGATAGCTTCTACCCTGTAGTTCTGCATAGCTGGGCAGATATGGATAGCTAAAAGACACTCTCCATTCTTTCTTTATTCTGCTCTTTCTTTCTTATTCTTTCTCTTTTCTCTGTTTTTCCGTCATTCACAAAGCCTAAAATAACTGATGGAGGGGCAGGTTAGAGAGGAGGTGGAGGAGGACTCAGACCCTTAATGTGTGTGCTGTGGAGATAGAGGGTGCTTGCTGGAGTGACTTAGTAGCTGTGTGTCCTTGGAAAGTTGGTTCACTTGTGCTGTGCCTTGATTTATTTACCCGAAAATTGAAATAATAATAGTGCCTCACTGAAACGGTTTACCTTTCTCTTGAAAAATGTGTATTGAGTGTCTACTGCATGTTGTCAGGAGATAATTCTCTATTCTCGCCTATGTTTTTGCATGTCTTGTGAGTTAGAGGCGCTGATTACCTTTGTTTCAGACTCTCTTTTCAAGGGTGTTTGTGTAAAAAATGCCCTTGAAAAATAAAATAATGTCTCCCTCTGGAGCAAAACGCAGGTTTGTCTAGTATAATAAAGATAATATCTTCTTCCAGTGTAAGCTCAGGTGAGTTTACTGATCTTTTAAAAAGATTTGGGATTTTTAAAAGTTTGGCATTCTTTTCCCGTGACACGCTGTACTTTCTGTGCAGGTATCGCTTGGCGCTCTTCACATAGCCCTGTGCAAACTGGGGCTGGGGAAACAGAGTAAATGCTGACACTCTGGCTATTGCTATGAAATAATTAAATCCCTTGTCTCAGACCCAAGAGTCAGCATCTTCTGCCAGCATCGTGGCAGGCTGACTTGCATGGTAAAATCTCAGACTCTTCCCAGGTCTTAACAAGAACTGTAATAATATCTTGGGGACAGATCAGTGAATAAAATTTCCTAAGTCTCTGTCCTCATGGAGCCTCCATTGCATTTTAGTTGAGGCAGTCAGACAATAAAAAATAAGAAAGGATATAAAATATATCAGATTCTGATGAAGATCGTGGAGTAAAGAATAGAGAGGATAAGGGGTGCTGGAGGATTCGGGGGACGTTTGTTATAGAGTGGTCGGAGAAGGTCTTGCTGATCAGGTGACATTCAAAGGGAGACATGGAAAAAGCGAAGAAAGGAACCACGTGGATATCCTGGAACATGCTTTCCAGATGAAGAGAGGAGCAGGGGCCAAGGCCTTGGGGCAGAAGCTGGCTTGATGTGTTTGGGAAACATCCAGGAGGACATGGTGGCTGGAGCAGAGGATAGAGAGAAAAAGGAGAGATGAGATAAAGCAGGGAGGGCTGAGAGTGTGAGGTGCCATGCAGGCCACAGTAGGGACTTTGCTTTTTAGCAAAGAGAAAAGCTTTGCAGGTGTTAAGTGCTTTCTTCACATCTTCATTTGGATATCCTATAGGCGCCTCAAATCGAATACATCACGTTCTGCTATTTTGATCCTTCGCCACAAATATTTTTCTCTTTATTCTCCCCACTGCTCCTTTTCTTTCCAGCGAATTGCTCAAGCTGACACCCCAGTGTCCTCCCCGACCCTTCTCCTTCCCCTTTTCACACAGCATCTTCCACACTTAATTTGTTACCAAGTACTCCTCTTGGGTCTGTGTCCTAACTAACCTCCATTCTAGATACTTCTGACCACCTTCCACTTTCATATCTAAGATGTCACCACCATTTCCCCCTGGGATTCTGCAATTTCCTTTAAGAGCTTTCCCAACGTGTATTGTTGTTTTTTCCTCAACACTGCTGCCCATAGAGCAATCAGCGGGTCTTTATAGAATGCAGGAGTGATCATGTCTCTCTCCACTTTCTCACTGCTCAAAATCCTCAGGAAGAGTAGGCCCTGCAAGACTTGACTCCTTTCTACCTCTTTTGCTTTATTATTCCTCGTTGGTTTCCTCTTTGTTCAATCTGCCAAGCTACACTGGTCATTTCTCTGTTCCCTCTTATCAGGACAAAATAAAATAAAATAAAATAAAGGTTGTAACTTTCAAGACTCCAGTTAAATGGCATTTCCTCATGAAGCTGTTTTTTTTTTTTTTCTGAGCCTTCTTTCACTTACTTTCACAAAGAGATTAAGTCCTCCTACTGTATGAGTTCATGATTACCCTTCATTGCATTTAAAAATAAGCTTAATTCTATAGGTATTTGCATGGTTATTATGTAATATCGCTTCATTTTTAGGGGGTAAATATGGTTGTTTTGTTTATTGTAGTACCTAGCAAAATGTCTGGAAAGTAGTAGGTACTCAATAAATATTTGCTGAAAACATGAAGTAAGTAATAAATGTATATACTGATTTCCTTGAAGGCCAAGGTTTCTGCCTTGTTCATTTCTGTGTCTCCAGTGAGTTGTCATTCATTGGTTCATTCAGCATTTTACTCATTTAACTATCGGTATAATCTCAATATTCGTGGGGTCCCTACTACTTAAAAGCTCTCAGCTAAGTGCTAGGGAGTGGCTATCATTTCTGCCCTCAGAGTTTAATCTTAGCATTGATAGATATTGGTTGAATGAGTAGACTTTTTGTCTCAAATCATTATTTAAATAGTAGTTTTGTTGCCAGTAAGAAAGTTCCAATAGCCACTGTTAAGGGGGGGGCAGTTAATATTTGAGAAAAGGATTTTTTTCTTTGGATTTGACAAGGAGTGTGGGGAGAAGGGAATTGGCTGGGACTTTATTGAGGAACTCTTTAGATAAAAGTAGCAGCAATAACAACATTCAGAATAAGGCCTGCCTGATGCCAAAGCTTTGGGTCTTTCCACCAAACGGTGATTTTTAAACATTTTGACTGTGAACCTAACATAAAAAAATAAACTTTGTGTGTTATGGACTAGTATATGTATACATATGAGCAAACACAATTGTTAAAAAAAAACAAAATGTAGTCTTATTATAGGAGATTACTCTCGATATTTTTTGCTTTTTGTTCCAGTCTATCTCATAGTTCACCAATCCTGATCTGCAGTTTGACAGACATTTTACCACAGTATTATTCTGTGGACCTCAAATAGTTTTTTTTTTTTTTTCCAAATCACTACAATACTAAGATATAGTTCTAGGTAGAAACTGGCCCTAAAATTGTGATGGGAAACGGTCCTTTGGAAATAGCAAGTTGAAGGGGGTAAACAAAACTTGTGGAGAGACATCCTGGCTCTAATTACACATCGGCCATTTCACCTGTTACATGACTGTGGGTGAATCCGTTTTCTCAACTGCAAAATTGCATATCACAATGCATGCATTTGGTGTGAGAATAAACCTAGAAATTGGAAATAAATATTGTGCAAAAATATTATCCCCCATTTCCCCCCAGAATTATAATTGCTAGCTAGTAATAATATCATCCTCCATCTATAGATTGGAATAAGAGATGCTATGTATATGTATGTTAAGGCTATATATGATCAGTGTCTTGACAGAATAAATATTGATTGCCCTGGGGGAAGGGAAATGCATTGACTAGAGCAGCCCTGCTACTGTGCTAGACTATTAGTCATATTGAATATGTTTACACTGCCTAGCCTTGTGTAAATCTCTCTCTTCTTTACCTCTCTGGGTACATATTTATGCACGTATATCTTTGGGAACTAAAGCAAACATATTCTGACCTACATCCCTCTGGTTCAAGGACTAATTATTCACATGAATAAAGAATGATGACAAAACTTAAAAGAATTGCTCTAATGGGTGTTGATCATACTTGCTGGAATGGGGATGTTTGTTGGGCACCTGTTGATTTTCACATCCCATGCCCAGAGTTTCACTTGCAAGAAAAATGACAGAAACTAGAGATAGAGAGCCTATTGTATTCAGCCTGACATTTGAAACCCTTTTGGACAGAGGTGCATCTTAAGTCTTAGATCTTATTTTTCATTCTACAAAGAACTTCATGGACTTTCTTAAATAGCCTTTTCTTTTTATTCCATGGCTTACGCTCCAAATAGCTGCCATGGTTTTGATTGTAACACATCCTCTGCAGCTTGGCTAAATATCTGTGGTGCTTGATTAAATTAGTAACGATTTTTCCACTTTTTTGTCTCTCATGGCAGTTTGTAAAGCTATCATTTAATAATAATTATATTAATTACATCATCCTCATCATTATTGCTATAACTACTTCTAAAATTTTTCAAAATTGTCTATTTGTCAGTCACTGTGGTATTTTATTTTCATCATTTTAATTACCATAGGATTATCATTTCTATTTTATGAGTAAAGAAACTCAGGTACAGATTTAATTGTTCTTGTTTCTGATCACAGAGATCTTACATATAATTGAACTTAATGACACTGCTGGAACATTGGCTTTAACTTCAGGAGGTCAGGATTGCTAATTTAATACTGTCACTGACAACTTGTCTGATGTTTTGCAAAGTCTATTCATACTGCTGGCTTCAGTTTCCTCAGATATAAATATTGCAATTATCTTCTTCTATTGACTGGCTTACATTTTCACCTTCTTACTGATATCTTTTAAAGAACAAAGGTTTTTAATTTTAATTGAGTTCAATCTAATAATCTTTTCCTTTATCCTCAGTGTTTTTATGTACCCTGTTAAAAGAAAATTTTGCCTGCCCTAGGATCATAAAAGTATTCTATATAATTCTAGAAGACCTACAACCCAATGTAATT